TCTGCTCTGCTGGGAGAAGCCAGATAGGAGAAAAATGTTTTGCATGAATTAGCTCTAAGTGTCACAAAAACCCCACAAAGGAAATAGTATTACCTCATTGCTTTTACACAGGCTGGGAAAGCTAACATAAATGACCGAAACTGGGAAAGGTGGCTAATCTGTCAAGGCAGTGTTATGAACTAGATGTTTGTGCTCCCCCAAAATTTATTTGTTGAAGCCCTGATCCACAGAGTGATGGATTTGGGCCTTTGGGAGGTAATCAGGGTTATATGAAGTCATGCCCCTGGGCACCAAAACCTTCTAGGCAGCACTGAGACTCAAGGATTCTTACAAAGTGGTAATCAAACCCCACATATAGGAAGTTTCTTAGTCTTTGAATCTGCAAGCCATTGAGGCAACATTTGACAAAATTATCAGGGAGAATGTGAAGTAGACTGATCCCATGGGGTCTCACTGGGATTCACCAGATGTCACACTTGCCACAGATGAAGTCACAGTGATTTGACATTAACATTAAGGTATATGAAAAACAACCAAAAAAGAAAAAAGAAGAGCCTACCCTACATTTACTTATCAGTGTGTATGAATTTAATTTGCAATGCTGGTTCTAAAATCTTGAATATGATGCATTTTCTAAACAAGGTATACAGCCAAAATCAGATGAAATCTACGCCTAAGCCTCCAAGCACTAATTCTGTGCAAACTCAGTGCCTCTGGAAAGCACTCTATGATAAATTTAATTCCAGAATTAAATTCATATAGGAAAGCTGCCCGTATTATTGATTTGGAAATCATCAGCCATTAAATCATTCATTTAGCTAAATAAATAATGATCAGTTTTCTTCAGCTAGTCTCCATAAAACCCTTTTCATCAATTTTATTAAAAATTCTGAAAAGTAAGATCACGTTGGGAAGTTTAATTTGTATTATGACCTACTTGTGAACCAAAGTCAGGAGTCATATTTTTATAATTTTTTAATCTGGGTCATTTAACCTATATCACTTTTCAATTCTGCTGAGTTCCTGATAAAAGTCAAAGATATCTATTTCAGATAAGTTAGCATTATCAAGAGATATCTAACGTGACAGTATTTATGAACATGCATCATAAATTACAACCCCAAATGTAAAATAAAGGAATATTATTAAAATAACTTCTATATTTTAAGCAAAAATTCATTTTTAATATATACAAGGGTTCTGAAAGCTTTTCCCCACTCAATTCAACAAAATCGGAAAAAAATTTTTAATGCTTCAATGGACTTGGATTTTTTCCCTTGGTGGAGTAGTAAAATCTGAGCGTCAGAAAAGACAATTTGAAGAAACACCAGGACTGAAAGGAAACACCTGCAGTCCCACTAAAATCGCACAGACACACTAAAAGAGCACACACTCCCCCAGGCCTCGGATGGAGGCGCACAGCCTCCATCCCTTTCCCAGCAGCGAATGATGCACGCACCATGCTCACTTTTATCAGCATGGAGAGACACTGCACCTGCCACACAGAAAACCCGAGCAGCCCAATAAACATGTTAGAAATAGACAGGACACTCAGGGTTTGACCCTCAGGTGGGAGAGCCCAGACACAGATGTCAAAGGTATAGATACATGGCTTTCTCCAGATTGTCAGGTGAGAGGCTTGGAAAGCAAGTGTGTCAGTTTGAAGAATAGACCTGATGGGTGGGGAGATGCTAGCAATGTTAAGTGAAACTTCCAACGGGTCTGAACCACAGCTTAACAACTGAATTGCTTTAGGAACTCCAGAAAATATGTAATGCATGAGCCACAGTCCAGAGGTTCTGAAATACAGAACCTGGATCCCAGGATCCCAGGCTTCCATACTTCTTAAAAATTCCCTAAGGGATTCTAATGTGAAACAAGGATGAACGACAGCAGCTGGCCTTGGAAACAAGGGGAAATGATAACTGGATCAGCTACAGCACACGAAGACTCCAAGAGCGTTAACACAGGCCAAGGACCAGTCTATGAAACGGTGCCCAAGAGGGGCCCATCATCACCACTGGTGAGCAACAGTCCAGGACAGAACCTACAAGCTGCTGCGCCCACTTTACAGATAACAAGGTAAAGAAAAACTAAATAATACTCTTCTGCTTGAAACCCCTACAGCTTTCAGTGGAAGGTTCATTTAAAACGTTTAACTTAGCACACGAGGCCTTTCATCTCTTCCCAGACTTGTGTTGCCTTGTTCCTTCACTGGTTGCCTACATATACTCTTCTTTCCAGGTATCAGAATAACCTACAAATCCCTGGAAAACTGTGATGTTCGCCATCTTTGCTTCTGTGAATTTTATTCCCTCTTCCAAAATATGCCCCTTCTCCCTCTCCCACCTCCCTCTCAATTCTCACCCACCCCAGTCTTTCTTTCTACATTGCCCTTGTTCATCCTTCAAAACCCAGGTCAAGTATCACCAGCTCCAGGAAGACTCTTCAGACCCCTTTCCACTCTGCTGTCACATGTCTATGATCCCGGCGCCTCTTGCGTGGACTGTTACAGCCCTTATCATACACAGATTTGTCTGTCTCCTCACCCCAAGGGTAAGCCCTCTCAAGACAGGACCATGTCTTCTTTAACTTTACATTCCAAGTACAAGGACTCTGAAGGACCATTCCTTCAGTGAATAATGAACACATGGTGAGAAAAGGAACTAGACAGGGATCCTCTGATTCATCATCAGGTATGTCTCCCCTACTCCAACAGCTCCTGAGAAACACCTATTTGTTTCATGTTTCATGATCATTTGGATGCCTCATCATTTAGTTAGCAACTATAGCAGAGATGGTCAAGTACCTAAAGACCCTAAGAAAAGGGGAGGCCTAATAACCCAGAAATCTGTGCCTCACACAGGCCTTTCACTTTCTCCAAGAAAACAGCTCTGGAAAAATAGAAGAAGCCTTCATAAACTGAGAAATCATTCTGAGAAGGCATCCATCTCTGGGACCTTTATAATGTGATGCCATTATCTTGCCTTTTTGCAAAGGAGGCCTTCTGTGTAAGAGGTGCTCACACTCACACATCTGTATGCTGCAAGCTAAATAATAGAAATATCGAGTGAATCAATGTTTCCAAACTTCTTGGTTATGATTTCAGGCATTATTATGCCAACCAGTGGGTGATACACTTCTACACCCAACCCACTATTTTCTTAAGGTCTTAGATTCTATCCATGCAAACCGTCTCAATAATCAATCATAGCTTGATCCATAAGCAAATAATTAAAGATAATTTATCTAGAAGCAGGTTTGAGGAACAAATGAGTGAAACAGAGGACACCTCCTATTTCTCTGCTACCTGCAGAATTTTACTGAGTATGGAAATGTCATGTGTGGTCAAATGAAAGGGGAATAAACCATAATTCCATTTTGAGGTGTTTTTCTCTTCAGGACAATTTTTCCTCCTCAGCACAAACTCCACCTTGCAAAAATGCTATCTTTAATAGATTGACAAGTTTTGAATAGAAAATACCAAACTAAACAACAACACTGGCAGGTTTTTGTTTCTTACTGTTAACTCCTTTTTTTGATTCGGGGTCTGACACAGCACCAAACGTGGACAATACTACCCACTGCAATGATCAGACAAAGCTGAATCTGAATTAAGTTCAACCAACCACTGGCTTTGTAACAAAACAACAACAACAACAAAAACCACAATGACTTCATGTCTCTGAGATATGGGTCTTTATCTCTAAAATAGGAGTGATGGTAAATATCAGGGGGTCTGTTATTAAGATTAAGTAAGATACTGTACTAATAGCATTTGATATAGGTCTTCTCTTACTGTAGACAAAGTAAATGTTAGCTACAAATAAATGTCTATGGAATTGAAAAAATTAAAGGATAATTTAAAAAAGAAAAGTAGTAATAAAGAATAATTAAAAGGGTAAACAGCAATGCAACTATACTCTTCACGTATATTCAGCATTATTTGTAAGGTGTGCCATGAATTTAATAATAGCTTTTTGGAGGAGGAAAAAAAAAAAAAAAACCAATGTACTCATCAACTGTGAGATACCCTGATTTCAGAAATAAAGGTAAAAAAAAAATGCATCTCAGAACTGAAGGAAAATGGTATACTTAGTAAAAACCTCTAGTATCCAAGAGGCCTGCAGAGTAGATAGAAAAATGGTACTTGCTTCCCCTCTTCCCAACTACATATAACTATTGATTGAAAGAAGGATTATCCAAAAATGAGTGACAGGATCAGGTTTCTGGGAAAACGGCAGTTTTATTCCCCATATACATTTTCCCCAAATTTTATTCCATGCAGCAAAGTGCTCAGTTAAGACCACATCATCCAGGTTTACTGGCAGTGAAAGACAGCCAGAAATATCTAAGTGGAAGGCGTGGATAGGACTACCAAGGAGACTGTTTTGCCCTACTTCCTCTTTTCTCCTTACTGATGCCTGGAATATAGAGAGATAGCTGGAGCTCCAGCAGCCTTTATATCATGAGGTATTCACTAAAGATGCAGAGCAGAGAGAGGGGGAACTGAAAAAAAAAAAATAGTCAAGGAAACTATCCTGGAACCTTAAAAAGAAGTAAGGAGACTAAAAAGAAAAAAAAACATACACATGGAAAGGTATCTTTGATGAACTTACATACATTTAATTCTTTCCAAAAAAATTCTACACAGAAAGATATGTGGCCATGCAGAAAATTCTTAAGATGAAATATACATCTACATTCTGTGAAGCAAATACTTAAGAGTTCTTAATTAACACATAAGATCAGAAACACCTGTAAGAATCACTTCAATTATGTCATACTTATCCTTTTAAATCCTCAATATTAGTAAGTATCCGGAAAACCGGAAGTACTCAAATGTTTTAAATAAATGCATGATGGTGTCAAGTTAAGTTATTCAGAATTACAAAACTTTATTATTGTTTTTCCCCACCCCCATTCACTCATCATTTTTCATTTATGGTTCCCCTAATAGGAGTTACACACTGTCAGGGAACTAGAACCTTCTTTCATACCTTCTGTTGTTGGAAATACCTCTTCCCCTTCAGTTTTGGTCTCAGCCAGCTTCCCAGTTCTTAGCAATACCTCTGCAAAGCTTTCCACTGGAACATGCTGGTGGGGGTCATAGGTCACTGCAGACTAGACAGAAGCAGTTACACCTTTTAGCTGGTAACTTTTTTCTTTAAAGATATCCTTAGAACAGAATTACAGGATTTTATATCTTTTGATGATTCAAATTATAACTTCTCACTTACTAAAACATATTATTTTATATGTAAAGCTTGAAACAGATTTTAATCTCATAATATAATATATACAAATCGCATAAAACCAGGTCGCCTAGATAGCTCAGTCAGTTAAGCATCCAACTCTTGATTTCAGCTCAAGTCACGATCTCCAGGTTGTGAGATCGAGCCCAGCGTTGGGCTCTGTGCTCAGCAGAAGTCGGCTTGAGATACTCTCTCTCCCTCCCCCCTCCCCCAACTCACTCCCTCTCTCTAAAATAAATAAAATAAATATTTAAAATATATATATATGAAAAAAAAGTCACATAAAACCAGTGAGTAACATGAGTAAGAACGAAGCTAAAGAAGTAAATTTTCAGGAACATTTTCATTTTTGTTTATACTAAAATGCCCACAACAGCATAACAGTTGAATCTATGTTCTTAGGCACACTGTCCTTACCTCTATGACAAAGGGATCGGAGAGGACAGATTCATAAAAAGGATGACAGCCTTGTTTTTCTAGACCTTCATTGGCTATGGTTCCAATTTGATAAGCACCACCGAATTCTTGCCCCTAAACAGAACAAAGTGAAGAACAGTGGATAGAAGGAAAGAGCGCTGAGGGCAGATGCGGAGGGGAGAAGGAGGGTTGTTTCCAGAGAAATGGATCCACGTGAACTGTGGGATCTACGGACTATGTGTCAGTTTGACATGGACGCCCAGCAGAGCGGGTAAGAATGGCACCCACATTCTAAAAGCAGCCCTTCAACCTCAGCCTGCAGTGCCTTCTGATTTTCCTGGTCATTTGGACATCAGTGCATTAAAAACAAAGAAGCAATCAGTGTTAAACACACGACAAGTTTTCTATCCTACAGTCAGAGTAACCTTCCCAACACATCATTTTGTACATATTGCTGCCCTGCTCAGCACATCTTTAGTAGCTCTGAACAAGACTAACAGGCCACAGTAGCAAGTCTAAACTATGTAAAATAACATTTAAAGTTCTTCAATGTCAATCAAACATTCAAGACTAATTCTTTATTCCAACCAAGATCTACTTCATGTGTCCTACCAGCTTCTATGCCTTTCTTCCACCACGAGGGCCCTGTCCATGCTGACTGCCTCGGCAGACCCCACCCTGCTTCCAGGCCCACCAAGGATCTCACCTGCTGAAACCCTACCAAGCTGGAGGCAAGATGGAAGTGCGCCCCTTGCCTCTTCCCCGCCACCCCACAACTGCCTTCAGGACCTGTCAGCAGCGGTCCTCACTGGCAAGCGCTTTCGGATCCCTAGTAGTTAACTGTCTTCAGGTTGACCTTCCTCAGATCGTAAAGCTCCTCACTGGAAGAGCCAAGTCAAACACAGTCACCCATTCCTCCGAGTTTACGGAGTCCTCACTTGATGCCAACCACAGCCTCGGGAAACTGTGAAGGCACTGCTGGAAATGATGATGAGAATGACAACTGACACTTAACAAAAACAATCTGGTATCAGGCACAGGGTTCCACACTTCGTCTGAGGCACGTAGGCTCAAGAAGTCCAAGACGCGAGACAGAAAAGTCACCATAATCATACCCAGTGTGATACACACAATGAGAAGAGAGGTGCAGACGTACCCCCGAGTCAAGCATCCACCATCTGTCTGTGGGATCGACATTTACCCAACCATCTCGGCTACGTCACCCTTGCTTCCCCTCTTCCCTGCATATCCCACATCCAGACCATTCACAGGTCCACAAAATACATCTCCCACTTGCTTCACCGCTGCCCCGGTCCACCCCTTCACCACCTCTCCCCTAGAGCACCAGATCAGAGACCTCTTTGCCCCTGCCCTGACTCATGCTGTCAGTTCTCCACAAAGCACTTAAATGGTCTTCGGAAAGTGAAGCTGGATCACACAACCGCACTGCCTACATTCTCCAACCGCTTTCCGTCCTACTCAGAATAAAATCCGGGGTCCTCCTCATAGTTTGTACACGGCTTGGCACATTGGCCTCTTCTTACCACCTCCTTGATTTCATCCCCCATCATTCCTCCCGCTGTTTACTCTGTTCATACTACACAAGCCTCCTTTCTGTTCTACAAAGATGTCAAGCATCTTCCTTCAAAAAAGGCTCTCTGTACTTGTTCTGCTTGGCTCAGTCAGGTTTCTGCTCAAGAGTGACTCCTGATACACCAACCTTCCGATCTAAATCAGACCTTCACTCCCCCAGTATCAAGCATTCTCCCCTTACCTTGAAGTTATCCTCACAGTCCTCACTACCACCTACCGTTACATTATTACAAATACTTTATTGGTGGGTTTCTTTGTCTCCCCCACTGAAATACAGGCTCCGCACGTGAAGGGTTTCCCAACTCTGCTCCCAATCACTAGCACGAGCTTTGACACACAGAAAACGCCTGAGGAGCATTTGGAGCATGAATGAAATGAACGATACACCCACTGAGTGTTTGGGGTGAACTTATAAACAAGCATATTTCTTTGTCCTTCAAGCTTTCCAGAGAGACTAAGGACTGCAGTGTGAGAGCGCAGGGAAGACAGCAGGGGAGCAATATGTTCACTGGTCACAGAAAGCACACTCCATCGTTATACCACTCGTCCCAACCTCTATTTCCAGAATGGGTGAAAGAATCTGTTACGCTGTTCTCTTTACCAAAAGCACCTACTAAAAATTGAATGTGTCGTCTGCTAAAATTCACATGTTGAAATTCTAAGCCCCCAAAACATGATGGTATTAAGAAGTGGGGCCTTTGGGTGCATATACACAATGGAATATTATTCTGCTATACAAAAGAAAGAGATCTTGTCATTTGCGACAACATGGATGGACTTAGAGGGTATTATGCTAAGGGAAATAAGTCAGACAAATATATGATTTCACTTACATGTAGAATCTAAAAAACAAATGAGCAAACAAACAAAAAAGCGTAAGCAGACCCATAAATAAGAGAACTGATGACTGCCAGAGGGTATGGGGTGGGGGATGAGCAAAGTGGGTGAAGGGGAGTGGGAGGTCCAGGCTTCCAGCTATGGAATGAGTAAATCACGGGTTATGAAAGTACAGGGAACACAGTCAAGGTACTGTAATGGTGTTATATCATGACAGATGGTAGATACACTTGTGAGTACAAGCATAACGTATAGAGTTATCAAATCACTATGCTGTGCATTTGAAACTACTGTTACATTCCGTGTCAACTACACTTCAATTAAAAGTAAATAAATACATTTAAAAAAACTAAGATATGGGGGCCTTTGGGAGGTGACGGGCTCATGATGTTGGAGCCCTGCAGAGAGTTCCCTCAACCCTTGCAACATGTGAGAACGCAGCAAGCAGAACCCACCAGAAGCTAATTTGCCAGAGCTTTGATCTTGGACTTCCCAACCCCCAGAACCGCGAGGAAGAAATGTTTGTTGTTTAAGCCCCACAGTATGTGGTATGATTGTTCTAGCAGCCCCAATAACCTCAGCCCTCATGCCATCTTCCAGTGCTTTTCCTCGACTACTGGCCCATAGAAATATAGCAAAAACAAGTAAGCACCGATGAAATCATTTTCCTTTTCGTCCCACCAAATTTTAATTCTGACATCAAATCCAACCCCACCCCAATCTGTATCAGTGTCTTTTGCAAGCACCCTATGGGAGTAGGTTACATTCTATAAAATAAATGACTCTTCCCCTATCTGATGGGAGGCCTCGATTTCTTCAGAGATGATTTAATAATCTAGAGAAGATAAAGCTGTTCACAACACGAAAACGACTGAGAAGCAGTGCTAATGCATTGACAGAAGCCCGAGGATGGATTCTGAAAAGACAGAGGTCTTGCTTACGTGAAGCGGTCGGAGGTAAGTTAAGGACTTCTTCCACCACTGCCCGTCACTGACCGCCTGCAGCACGGCCTTGGTGGTGATCGTGGTGCTGGACAGGACCTTCCTGGTCGCAGCGGTGCTCCAGCCGAAGAGGTCGGAGTTGCTGCCAGGAACACCGACTTCACCCTAGTTAAAACAGAAAAGGCCAAGAGCAAAAAATGCACATGGCTAGAAGAACAGAGTGATCATGAGACGACTTACGCTTCTCGGACATGAGAAATTTAAAAATCCATCTTTGCCAGCAACAAAAAAATGTGAAACAAAGCACTCCTGGCACATTGTACCTCCTTGGATCAGGTACAAAAGAAATCTGGTAAAGGAAAAACCATCACCGTGCATTAGTCAAATAATCCCCTTCAGAAACATTTATGAAGCACATAACGGGTTCTTTCTTACCAATCTAGTATCCTACCAACGAAAAACTCATGTTTATTTCTTAGACATTTGAAAATATTTATTATACAGGTTAATTATGAAATAATTTAGTCATTTGAACAATGCTATGGTGACCCAGACAAAGGTAGGAGACTCGGAGGACCCATCTATAAATGTTGAAAGGTATTCTGTTTTTCACCTAAACAAGTGGATGATTAATAGTGTTTAAAAGGTTTATAACATGAAGCCTCCTGCCAATCTGGAAGCAATCAGCTAAAATTCTGACTCTCCATTTACTCATCTGAGAGATTCCACGTGGAGAAAAATGCTAATACATTAACATTTTTTTTTAAGATTTTACTTATTTATTTGACAGAGAGAGACACAGCGAGAGAGGGAACACAAGCAGGGGGAGTGGGAGAGGGAGAAGCAGGCTCCCCGCTGAGCAGGGAGCCGGAGCGGGGCTCAATCCCAGGACCCTGAGATCATGACCTGAGCCAAAGGCAGACGCTTAACGACTGAGCCACCCAGGCGCCCTACATTAACATTATTTTAAATAGAAACAACAACCACATCTGCTTTTGATCAAAGAAAAACACTACTTGTTCTACAAAAACAAAGTTCTTGGTTTAGTGTTTATCTACTTCCACTTATTTTTTCTTAAGTTTTCCATTTAAATGAAAGTGAAGTTAAGGCCTAGTCCCTCTATTTCAATAGCCTTCCTGATACTGATAGAAGGAGAGCATAGTTTGGCTATTTAGGTCCACATCACATCACTTATTCATGTATTATAAAAGTAATAAAAAACGTAAATCATGTAATCACTCAGTAATTGCCAGGACATCACACATCACAAATACTGAGGATACAAATGCACTGTTGTAGACCAAACTGACAGCTGCCCTACATGGTAAGTAGAATTACGGGCCCCAAAGATGTCCACGTCCAAATCCCTGGACCCTGGCAATACACTGCATTCCATGGCAAAGGGATTTTGCAGATATGATTAAGGACACACACCTTGAAGTGATTATCTAAATTATCGGGGTGGGACTAACCTAGTCACACAAGCCTTTAAGCAGAGAACCTGTCCCAGCTGGGGTCAGACAGAGGGTGTCTGGGACATGCCATGGGGCAGAGGCAAGAAACACCTGAGGCATGAGGGGACTCAACCCATTATCGATGGCTTTGAAGATAGAGAAAGGGGCCACAAGCCAAGGTGTGAGTGGCACCTAGAAGCTGAGAAAAGCCCTCAGGTGACAGCCAGCAAGGCAACAGGGACCTCGGTCCTATAACCACAAGAAATTGAATTCTGTCAACATAAATGAGCATGGAAACAGATCCTTCTTTAGAAGCTCCAGAAAAGAGCACAGCCCTGTCGGCATCATGATTTTGGCCATGTGTGACTAAGGGGAGACCCACCTAAGTCTCCCAGATTTCCGTCCCATGGGAATTATAATCAATTTGCACTGTTTTTAAGTGGCTAAATTTGTGGTAATATGTTATAGCAGCAATAGAAAACAAATAATATCATGTTAGGATACTTAACTTCTAGAAAACCATTGTGAACTTTACTCTTACTTGCAAAAGGAAATGAATTTAAGCTACATCAACCAATGCTTACAATTTGTCCAATTTGTCGTTTAAGGTTTCTTGTAAGATTTTCTAAACTGTGCTTTTAACACACACACACACAAAATTGTGTCCCAACACTGTAAGAAATGATAATTATGGAATAGTAATAGTGTTATAGCTAAGCTACAATGGCAACCACCTGGCAAAATAAATGTATCAAATCAGGGGCACCTGGGTGGCTCAGTTGGTTGAGCATCCCACTCTTGATCTCAGCTCAGGTCTATGATCTCGGGGTCATGAGTTCAAGCCCCGTGTTGGCCTCCACACTGGGTGTGGAGCTTACTTAAAAAAAAAAAAAAGTATCAAATCAATAAGTTGTATCCCTTAAGCTAACACAAGGTTTTTATGTCAAATATATCTCAATTTAAAAAAAAATTTAAAAAATTGCGTTTCCTATGAACTTTTTGGATATTGGGAAAAGTATAAACTATCAACTCAATGCAATCACTGTAATTTGATTATGAAAACAACAACATAAAAAATGGATTTTAATAAGGAAAAAAATCATGTTAAGTTGCTTATATACTCATAAGGGCAACCATGCTAAAAATAATAGTTTGGAGTTTAGCTCATTATCCAACGCTTCTGAAAGGACAAGGTAGAAAGTCCTACATAGGAAAAAACAGAATTCTCCCTCCAAGTCTAATAATGATGACGGCTTGCTGTGGGCCAGGGCTGCACAAAGTGCTTCATATGTGACTGGGCAAAAAACCGGAAGGGAACACAAAAAAACACAAATAGTTTTAATGGTAGCATTACTACAATTCTTTTCTTTCCTTAATTTCTTCCCTGTGTGAGATGGCAGGAGAGGCTGATTTATTCTCCACTTCGGCACCGCTGACAGCTGGTTCATCATGTAGGACTTAAGTCAACAGAAGAAAAACAAGCTGATTCCCAGGGGCCCCTCTTTTCTCAGAAGGCCCCAACCCCAGCCGACGAGCTTCTGGTGGTGCACAGTGGCAAAGTTACCTCCAGGTCCCAGCCTGCGTTTCTGGAGTGGGGCCTTTTTCCACTGGACAGCTGGCAATCATGCGTGTCACCCACCAGGTCCGGCCTAAGCACTGCTCTCTGGGCTACTGAAAACCCTGGAGATCAGGGACACTTGGGCTTCACTCGGATTCTGAGTTTTCCCCTTAATAACTGTGCACAGAGTGGAGTCGGCTCTGTGTGTCCCTCTGTGCATAACACTGCCAAAAATAGTTCTTTGCCAGAAATAAAGCTCAGAAGGAATCTGAAGTATACATTCCCTCTTTTTATACAGATACTGATATGTAGATATAGATACATGTGTATATATGTGTATATATATATATATAAATACATGTAAAATATATAGTAAGCATCTCAATTTATTGGCTGTATTTTTGAATTACTTAAAATTTACATCTGAAAAAAAAAAAAAAAACCACCCCAGAAACAAATGAGAATTCATTCACTTACTCAGCAGTTACTGAGTGACTCTTAATTCAGTATCATGCACGATACCAGGCCATGAGGTGATAAAAACAGCTTAAGACACAGTCTGAGCTCACAAGTCGCTCTGAAACTAGGGAGGGAGGCAGAGTAATATCAACTTCTCAAGCCGAGGTGCATAAAAAACACCATGGGAACATGAAGAGAGGTCATACCTCCCCTGGCCGGAGGCACGATCACAGAAGGCTTTGCAGAGAAGGTAATATTCCAGCAGGAAACACGACAGGGCTTCCAAAGGAGGAATGGCAGAGAGAGTTTCAGGCAGACTTATGCAAACCAAGAGCACGAAATAAACAGCATGGCCAACTGGAGGAAACCTGAGCGAGTCAGAGAAGGTGCAGACGCTGACACACCAGGGCAAGGGGCAGAACACCAGGATGGAAAGAGGGAGAGGGGACTGGAGCAAGAGCTCCACTGACCAGCCCAAAGCACTTCTGCTGCCGCCCTGACAGATGGGAAGCCACTGAAGGACTCTAAACAAAGGGAGTCGCACAATCAGATTTGTGTTTTAAAAATATGACGCCAGGCACAAGAATCCAGTTAGAAGGTTGGTGCATTAGTCCAAGTTTAAACTAATCAGGGACAATTTGAATTAAGATCATAATGCCACAAACATATAAGGTTACCATAGGGTATTTGTCTACCTGAATGAATACATTAAGTGTAAGTGTTTTTATTTCTAATCCTTCTAAAAGTGAGAAGGGCCGGAGGTAAATCAGATAAGCAGAGAAATCCAACTTTCTAAGAAATAAAGTACATGGTCACCAGGTGGGTCTTAGGGAAGAGCTGAGAGAAAGAAGACAAGAACAGAAGAGAAGTCAGGAACATAAGCAAATGTTCACGGTCAGTTGAGCAAGGTTAGATGCAGTGGGGGTAAAAATGAGCAACACAAGTTACTGAGGAAGAATGAACAGAGGACCAGGTCCACAGAGAGGAATAAGAAAGATCTAGAGACCTTTTTTCCCCAAGAGCAATGTCTAGTAGAAGTCCTGTTTATAATATATAAGAAACATAATGGCTACCATTTGCTAAACGTATACTATGTGTCAGGTACTGAGCAGGTGCTTCTTATGTTCATTCCTAAATTTTACAGTAACACTGCAGAGTAGGTAGGAGAACGTTGTAGATCCACTAAGCAGAATATGCTGCCCACAGGCAACTGGCCTAAGGGTGTCACCTGTCTTCTTTTTATTTATTTATTTATTTATTTATTTATTTATTTATTTATTTATTTATTTATTTATTTATTTATAAAGATTTTATTTATTTATTTGAGAGAGAGAATGAGAGACAGCACAAGAGGGAAGAGGGTCAGAGGGAGAAGCAGACCCCCTGCCGAGCAGGGAGCCCGATGCGGGACTCGATTCCGGGACTCCAGGATCATGACCTGAGCCGAAGGCAGTCGCTTAACCGACTGAGCCACCCAGGCACCCTGTCTCCTGTCTTCTTGACCAGGTCTGGCTATCGAAATGTGTGGTCCACTTGTTTTTCATAGGGTTCTGACATAATATTACACACACACACACACACACACACACTTAAGGTCATTTATTCTTCTGTGTTATAAAACTAAAATCTCATTAAAGATGGCTTGAAAAATTCATAAGATTAGGAGAAAAAAAGACAGTACTTATTCACAATTC